TCATTTACTCATTGACTATGAGCAAACAAAGGGAACAAATGACACGTGTGTGCATATTATGAACGGTAAAAGTTCTGGCAATGCAATCAATCGGGTTGCTTAGGATCGCGGAATTGTGACGATCGAGGGGTGACATGGCATAGAATGGGTATGACCCTTTCCTTCGACGTGCACACACGAACGGGGGGTCGCGTCCACGACGGCCGAGCAGTTAATGGGAGCTTAGAGGTTGATAGCCTTGAGCATGTACCGCGCGACTGCTCGTGCCATGGCCGACCGATTCTCCCGTTCTCTCCCTCTTCTCCCGGGGTCCATTCCCTTTCGCTCCTTTCCCATCTTCCGTGGATATATGTATGTAGGTTACGTGTATCATTCTTTCATATAGAAATTTTCTGTAAATATATAAAAATTGTTCTATTATTATACCAATTAGTGTATCAATCACTAGATGAAATATTGTATTAATTACTGTATTAATCATTATATATATTAAACATTGTGTCGAGTATTATAGCAATTATTATGTCAGACATTGTGTCGAATATTATATCAATTATTCTATCAATCATTGTATCGAGTGTAATATTAATTACTACATCCAACATTGCGAGTATTATATCAATTATTATATCAAACATTGTGTCGAGTATTATGCCAATTATTATATCAAACAGTGTTTCGAGTATAATATCAACAACTATATCCAACATTACACAAGACATGATATCCAATATNTTTAAAAAAGTACTTCATGTACGTAAATGTGTGTATAACGAATGCCTTAAAATAGATTTGTTATACACACTTCTGTTTTTTCGATAAAATTGCTAAAAACGCCTTGGAATTTGGCGAATCAAAATGACGTTATCCCTTAATGGGAATTCGCTTTAAGAAACGCTTAGGAGGACGCGTTTGGGGGGAAACTTGGCTGTGACCAAGCGAGCGTTGGTTGAACGTTGAACGCAACTTGGTAGCTGCGAGGATGAAGAGAGAGGATGGGAACGAGAGAAATATATATGTATAGGGGTCTTTGATCTGTACACCCTCCCTGCGAGTTCCTGGTACACGGCCGGATCCGTTACTCCGGCCACTACCAACTACTGGAGTAAATAGTACCGTGGTCACGTGTTTGTTCAGATCCGGACGCAATTTACCATCGTCGGCCATGTCTATAACTACGGTAGCCCGCGGTAGGTGTTCGGGCGACCGGCGCAAAGGACTGTGGAAAGAGATATTCGGAAACCCGGAATTGTACGATCCTATCCTGTAAATCAAGATTGATGTCACACTAGAACTGCCCAGTGCAACGTTATGCACAGTATACGCAGTCAAAGTTTACATTCGTATCAGTTTCCCATGAACACTTCTCCGGAATGTAATTGAAAATGAAACGAAGTAAAAATTTATGAACGATATACTACGACTCGTAATCTTTTATAATAATTAATATCTAATTCAATCGATTACAAGAAATGGTAGAAAGAATTTTAAACCTACATTACATTTTTCTAATTGATAAATGGTTTTGCACGAAAGCACGGAGTACTTACAAGTTACGGGAGGAGGAACGTGCGACCGGGTAATTATTTGATTTTCGTCCTCTGGAGATTCGAAATACGACTTTCGGAAAGCTCTCGAGCACACCTCTACCAGAATCAAGATTCTGAAGTGATGCTTGAGCGAGCGTTCGGGATTTCGGCCCTCGGGAAGGAACACCGCTCCTGTGGTACCCAGAATACCAAACGCTTGCTTGAGAGCTGTTCTTTGTCGTCCTTGTATCTCCCTCCGTGTTATTCGTTTGTTGTCGCAGAGGCAAATATAGATTTCACAGCACGCATTCATCTCACACTTACCGAATCTTTAATCCACCATCATTCTTATGAAGATATACACAATTAATGAACATTGAAAATTAATCAACTTCTTTTAACACTTTTAAAATGAAAGTAGTTGTCATTCTATTGCCTACTTCTACTTTTACAAAATCTTTATAATTTTAACATTGTATCACTCATTATCATAACATAAACAAAAAGTGTTGTAATTTTGCAGGGGAAGCAAGCGTGCCAATGGTTCGATCTACAGTGACGAATCGCGTGATCATTGTTAATGCGATGAATTCGTTGCGAGACAGTTGTAACGAGGCAGTAAATAAGAGAAAACGGAGGAAACGGGCGACGGTGTAGCAAAAAGAAAATCCCGGTTATAAATAATGGCTAGGAGAGGAACGGAGAGGATGCAGGCCTTGGTTAATTCTGGAGATCCTTTCGCTTACAAATTGGCTGTACAAAAAACAAGCGAGGAGTTTGAAGCCGATCCTACAAGGCTCGACTTCTACCCGCCTGCAAAATGCTAAGAGACACTCGAACAAGTTAGTCATGCAACAAGCACAACAAGAAGTCGAGAATAATCTTAGAAAACGAGATTTACATCTTTCCGAAATATTTTTAAGACCTATTAATTTTTTGTATTCTTTTATCGATTTAATAAAATGCATTATTTTAGTCTTGCGTATTATTCATTGTTTTTATGCATTATTATATCTTTTAGTCTCATGCATTGTTTTACTTTTTAAGAAAGCATATTGCAATAACTGTCAGATTTATACATTATTCTATTGTACATTACTATTTTTATTTTAATAGAGTACATTACGCAATTGTTTTCGGTTTCAGTTTCTGCTCCATTACATGAAAAAAATTATACTTAACATTTAAGTTCTTTTACAGAACGAAGAAGTTTTTATAATATTACCTGGACAGGTGTTGCTCGTCGGTTTCCTGAAATAAATATTGTAATCGTGCCTACACTGATATGCAGCTGCAGGGTACATACAAAGAAACACTTCTCAAAACGCTGATAGTAATCAAGGATTTCTGAAAACTTATAATCGAATAAATACTGTGCTGAGCGACCCGCGTTCTAAAAAATATGCAATGCAAACATTTAATATACGTCCTGTATAATAAAATTGCAGATTTTTGTGCAAGAGCTATTGTGATATCAATTTTAAAATGAAATCCAAATCGAGATTTATTTTCCACTTCAAAAATAAATATGAATATCTCGTTACATGAATATTAATGAATATCCTTGTACGCTACAAGCATTCTTTACTCTCTGACTTTTTGACTTTTTGATGAAATTTTGATATAGCAGTATGAAATCTGCTTTCTATCAATGATAATATACACATAATAATCCAAATCCTTGTATGCACATAGCACACTTCATACTCCCCGATTGATTATAGCGAAGTAAATGAATTAAATATACAATGTATTAATGATAATGATCCACAGATTCGAAGATAATCAGCTCAAATGATAGAAACTCAGTCCTAACTGAACTCGTCCCGCCCACTCGTTCGGATCGCGTCATGAATCACGTTATGTATATAGACCGACTTAAATTCTCCGGTATCTATGTAGGGGCCGTCCATTCATCAAACCCAGAATATCGGGGTCGTGAATCGGCGTCCGTGAGGTCCATAGAGCGCGCCGTTTCCGAGGTTGCGTGTGCATCGGTGCGTAACATGCATCGAACTCCTCTTCTGGGTTGCACTACGTGCAAAATTGTCAAAAAATCGGTATTATTCATCGATACACCAACGATTCTTTTTTGCAAAACAAAACGTGCAGAGCATCAGTTTAAAAAATAAGATTAAAGATATTGAAAATTTCCATTAATTCTTTGAACTTTGCTTTTTTTTGTCAAATGTATGTTCAAATGAAAAGTTGTATTAATTGTTATATCATTTATTGCGTCGCAATTGTATGACCCATATTTTGATGTTAAAACTTGATGATCTTTTGCGTACTACATGTATATTCAAATGTGTTGCAGTTGTACTTATGATACGTATATAACCGTCATGTGTTTGCTCCTTTTACATGTACTAGACAAGTAAGATTTATCTTGTTTTTCCGTTGCTCTCTTCCTTTGAATGGTGTACGAGATACGTCATATGTTAATGCAATTTATTACATATTACAATTAATTATTCAATATTCAACGTTGTGTTCCACTCGTATTACTCACTCCTGACATTAAAACGAAATATTACATTAATTGTTATATTATTTATTGTATTGTCAGTGATATATATCCATCATTTTCATGGGACATTGTACTGAAATTGTTATATTAGCACTGATACGATATCTCTCATTATCGATCACTCTCATTAGATTATGTTAGTAGAGAAGATTCTACAATTGCAAATTTCTGAATCCAAAGGGTAAATCGCCTAAGGCAAGCCACTTGAATAACTTCTACATTTTTTGAGGTAGAAAATGTTTCAGACAGAAGTTGTTTGGTCTCGAGGGGTACATCACATGGTGTGTGTAACTTTCCTGAGGGTGGTGGTGCTTCGGAGATTTGAAGGTCAACTTTATTTTTTCAAATAGAATAGTGTATTCCTTTTATACATCAAGCGATGCAACTAAACGATATTTATAAAAAGTACTCGTCTATGTATGTCGAAAAACGAGTAGTTTAGGAGATATTTCAATTTCGGTTCGGTTAGACATAAGTTGAGCTCTAAATCTTCGAAGCACCTCCGCCTGCAGAAAAGTTATACGCACTATGTGATGTACTCCTCGAAGTTAAACAACTTTTGTCTCAAACATAACGCTAATTACATATCTTCAAGTTGATAACCAGCAATTAACATTTAGATGTATTGAATAATATTTACATAATCTTCCCTGTACACATTCAACTGACTTGGCAGTCTGTGAAAACTCATCAACGTATCTTTAAGATTGAAAAATGATGAAAATTCTATGATCGGTCCACAGGAGAAGATAACGTGGAACGAAGAAACGAGGAAGGGATTGCGCAGAGGGGAGAGTAGGTACGCGACGGCAGGAAGGAATGAGAGGATGAGATGAAAAGACGGGGATAGGGTGAAGGGAGTGAGAAGTGGGAGAGGGGCCTGCTGGTGGGTTCGCCGCGTCGGACAGCCGCGCGCGGCACTAGTTTCGGTTTGCCGTTCGAACGCGACGGACGGTCTGTTCCACTGGTTGCCGGCTTCCACGTGGACGCGGCTCTTTTCCTCCGGTACGTTCTCTTCCCAAGTTGTTCCCTTCGTTCCGATCCGCGCGTGTGTGAATCACGACTGCCCGTGACCAAAGTGAGAATTCTGTGTGACAGTGAGAAATCACAGTTTCTGTTCGATCTCGTGTTCAGAAATTACGCGTCACGAGTGAGAGTTCAGTGGATCAGATAACAAGCGATAAGTACGTGTTCGGTGAGACTCGGACGGTGTTTCCTCGGAGCCCATCCACCTTTTTGGATTACTAGAATCGAGAGCGACGGCCGACGCAGGGATCCGACGCTTTGAAAAGGTGCGTCCGCGAATAAGTGAAGCAGGTTAACGTTCGTTCAGGGATGCGCATTGTTCGACGAGAGATCCCAAGTGTTCGATATTCGAAGTCTCGAGAACTGGGAGCTCGCCGGTGCTCTTTGTCTCCGGAATTTCTTATCCCGTTTTGTTTCATCGACCGCCTGTTCGATCGCGTGTACGCCACAAAATGGCGATCCACGCCACGGTTTTATACGCGACAGAAAACTATCGATTTCAAATCGTTTCACGTAACGTGATTCACGAAACATCTCCTGTAATAAAAGTTTCTAGTGTTTGGAGTAGTTCAGTCAGACAAATAATAATTTCGCTTTTGTCTTGATTTAACAATTCTTTCGAGAAATTAGTATATTATGCGCATTCTTGATCAAACGATCTGTACAATTAAACGTTTCACGTTGTAAGAAAATGGCCATCCTCGTCGGTTTTATTAAATCGTGTGCAACGATTTATAAAACACGTCTGATCTTTGATATCCGTCAACGAAAGTTTCAAGTGCTTGAAGCAGTTCGATAAAAAGCAAGAAATGATTTCTATTTAATCGTTGATTGTCTCCCATGTTTAAGAAGATTCTGAACCACAGATTTGTTCTCGTTTCTCTTGAAATTCGGATAATGACTTGACGACGTAACAAGATTCTTAGCAACGAGACGTTGTCTCGAACGAATTGTTTTTACTGTGAATCGTATCCCGCGGCGTAATTTACGACAACAAACGGAGTTCTATTTCGCGGTGTGGTTTTCGGGGAATTTCCGATTTAGGGAGAGAGGCATCTACACACACCGTTTGTTTAGCCTGACGAACCACGCCGATTCAGTGTTTTCACAGAAGGGTATTGGGGAAGCGTCTTTCTTGCACTCAGTGTAAGCAAACTCTTTCTCTGTCGTTCGTTGGTTCGAATTGTACTGGAAAAAAAATTAGAGAATGAAACAAGAAACTGCGTAATTATCAGATTTTTCGATGCAAATGAAACATGTATCGGTTAGGAAAATTTTACATAGGAATTTATTTTGTAATTTATAAATTGTAAAAAGTGATCAATTTTTAATATTTTTTATGAAACTATTAGAAAAATCTGTTTTAAAAAAACTTACTTTTATCAAATAAGTATTTAAAAGTCTATATAAGAATCACAGAATTCGCTTGTCAACCGTCGCGTAATTCGTTAAATTTAATCGCAAAAATTGTCGTTTCTTCGAGAATCGCGAACAGTTACATTACGTGCTTTCTTTTAATTTCATGCAAACATTTATTCTAACGAAGTCTGAATAAAAACGGTATAAGAACGAAAAGTTTCGATTAAACAATGAATAAATTAAAATAACTGGTTGGTTTAAGATTCTGAACAAGTCGAGTTTCAAGTTTATTTTGTAAATTTATTTAATCATAAAAAATGTCTGGATGTGAGAACATGACAGATGAGATATTCGTAATCACGTTCTGTTAAATATCCGAATAATCAAACAGATGAAGGGGCTGGATAATTAAGGGCTTTTTTTCTAGCATTTGTTGAAATTGTGATGTTTATTGCTCCGTTTTAACGATAATTAGGCAGAAATAATGCGAAACATAGGTGCGACAATTGAAGTTACAATACCTTTCTTTATAAACAATTTTATATCCAAAAGAAATTGTTCTGAATCAACTCAAGACCAAAGCACGACAGATTTAACTTTCCTATTTCCGAAGAAGTACCTGAAAAACCAAAAATCTTCTCATATAAAGATGAAACGTGTAGTATCGTATAACCACATGTTTGGCTAATTTTACGAGTAACGTTAACATTTTGTCTTATCGCGCTGCGGGAATCTAGCCCTTAGAATTAAAAGAACTCGGGTATGTGAAATGTAAAATTGTTTAATATATCGTGTTTGGAGTTTATTCCATATGAACGTGGAATTCCCATAAAAAAATGTTACTTCTTCATAGAAACTGTCTGGCGCAGGAGAGAAAATGATAGATGCGATATTTATTCGCGTTAAATTAACGATCGTGGCTTAAGGAACGCCGTGTACCTTTCCACGGACGCCGAGTCCTTCGGGCACTGCGTTGCGATGGTCTACTATTATGTCGAAACGAGTTCCTCCATTTCGAGAACCAGTCTTCGAAAATTTTTTTCCACCGCGGCCACGAGTGACGCGTCCCCGGGAAAGAAACATTGGAATTTGTCAGGCGATGGGCAAACTTTGCTTTCGTTTCGGCGCGCTCTTAAAGCGGATAGACCGTAACGTTAGAAGAATGTCGTATTTCATTACCCTTTAAACGTAGATCGTTCACGCAGTTTGCTTCGTATTATTAATTCGGTTCATATTAAATGTCTTCTTGTATTTTAACTCGCGTGTCAATGCATTATATTCAAATAACTTGGAATTTAATTAATACAATGTTTTATTTAATGATTCATATAATATCGAGGGACGCGGTAGCAAGTTGCAGGTTTACGTCGATTTCATGATTTTTTCGAGCTGCTTTTCACAGGAACGGATATTATTATATATTATATAAAATTATTTTTATGAAATGTTCAAACTTGCCCAGTTTTTTACCTTTTCATGAGAAGGTCAGTTTTTATTGGATTTAATATGACAAGTGACACAGATAATACAGCGTTTCATGTGATAATTGATATAATGTTTCATGTATTACATGACACAAGATTTAATCTAATGATTAATCATTAACTGGTACCGAAGGTAAGAATAAGCTGCAATGTGTTTAAGTATAATCAATTGCTCTTAAAAATTATTGCGGTAATACGAATTTAGAATTGGCCCAGAGTTTTTTAAAGAATTGTTACTCGCTGTTTTAAGACTCTAGAATATTATTTCACGTAGACGTCTCCAGTTTTGGACGAATTCCCATCGCGTTTCGGTATCCGACAATATAATTCCCGAGCAACATATTCGCGTAGATCATATCTCTTCGGATGAATTCTGGTCACGTTTCAATAACGAAGAATATAATCTCTCCTTACTGTTTTGATGCGTGGCTCAGAACTTTATTCGATGGCTGCATTTCTTCCAGCACGTGCGATAAATATCAAACTAAAAATTACTTGTTGGAATGATAAGGGTTAATTCTGTTTAAAAAATATGTTTTACATTATCAATAGGGAAATGTAATTTTGCGTGTAGGAATAGTTTCTGATAACTTTGACGCGTTTATATAATTGAACAGTAACATTGAGCTAGTACAGTAATTTATGTATCTTAATCTGAATATACATATGTATCGCTCGTTTTTCATGCTGAATGAGTTCATCTATATGTATACTCTTGTAAGTTTCTAAATGAAAATTGCAGTAATTCGCATGATGTAAAATTGGAAATAGTTCGCAAGGGACAATTTTTACAAAATTCTGTTATTTTTGTTAGATTATCAAAATATTGCAATTATTAGTAACTGTAGGTTGATCTCTTAAGTTAATAATTAAAAGAAATTATTACGTGAAAATTGAAATAATTATATTTTTGTTAATTTATTGAAAGAGACTTATTTTATTTAGGGATAAAAATAGAAAATCGCGAGCTAGTATCGGTATCGCAGCTGCAATTGAGATCAGACGATTTGAAGATCTGTCGATCGTCAAAGGGTTCGAACCTCTCGTCCTAACAATTTGACCCAGAAAAATGCAATCGAACTGAAACATCTTGTCGAGAAGGTTATACGCGCGGAGGTTGAAGTTGAAGCGTGTGCCAATCGAGAGTGGCGAAGGGTCGGTTAAAGGGGGAAGCGAAACGGGGACAACGCAAAAACAAGGTGACGATAACAACGGCAATCGATAGCCCCCGATGCAAAAGAATAAGCACCGGTCCCTTAGAAAAATTCCCCGATTAACTCTTCAACCCTTCTCAAGTTCATTCTCAGTTCGGTTCTCGTATTACCTTTGTGTGTATTTCTTTTATTATACATTGATTCTACAGGCTAATATCGGCAATTCTCATTGTTTCCTGGTATTTATAGTTTTTATGATCGTTTCCTTTAAATACAGAAATAGATATCGGTATCTTCAACTGTTAATCAAATATACTACAATTTACGTATTTTCGATTTTTGCGATGGTTTCAATTTTAAATGGTCGGCCATTTATTTTGTAACTTGTTAGTCGAATGCTTGTCATTTAAATACTGAATTGACCGTAAATCTTCAATCGTGAGAAACCTGTCCAGCCACTTTTTTTTTCCGAGCGACGACCGGGTCAGTCGAACATCGATTCCGTCACGAATGGAGTGTATTAATCAGCAGTTATCTACCCGATGCGCTACGTAACCATCTACTTCGCTTCGGTTCGGTTCGAGGTAACGTTTCTAGGACGGATAATGGATAATCGTCGGGGCCACCTGTCCCTGTCGTAATCTCACGGGGTATAATTAACGAAGCTTCGTTAACGCGGGGACTAAGACAAGGGGTCACAGCACCCGTGGAAATTGTCCGCTTACACACCTGCTTTGCATGATAATACCACACTTAGTAAAATTAATTTTTTAAGTCGGACACGAGCCTAAGTAGTAATAAATACTTCATGATTTGTGGGGTATCCTTCCTAGTATTGTGTAAACTGTAATTGACAATTGAAGTATCCTTTAATTAAGAATTAAGATTCAATCGTTAAATCAAGTTTCGTCCAATCAAGCTAATTAAATAATTTTAATTATTAATTAGTCAAACCTGAATAAAGAACCAAACGTTAATTGCCAATTGGTATCCAATTGAACTAACTACAAGATTTAATCGCTTTTCGTACAACCTTGCATCGGTTCCAAGACTGGTCCTTTCGAATAGTATGAAATGGTCTGACGTACTAAAATCTGAACTGATAGTTGATACAATATGATCCGACAATATTAAGTCCATTTAACAAATTATATTTAGTTCGATTTCTTTTTCATTTTATGTTTTCAAAATCAAATGTTCATGTAAAAAGTTCTGCATCCTATAAAAGTCTACTTTATGTATTATCGATATTCTTTAAAACTACGAAGC